TATTTGAAAGCTTGTCGCGTTTATTTTTTTTTTTCTATCTGGAATGTCTTGTGGTCGAGGCGCCCGGCTTCAAGCCTTTTCAGATGGGGGGAATATTTGTAATAATAAAATTCCATAGTCAAGAATACACTTAAAATTCTAACTGTATGTTCTTTTCATTTTTTAATGGCGACGTTCTCTTTATTTGAAAGTACGTGGAATTAAATCCACAGCCCCGTAGTCAAGTTGTTTTTCCCGCCTTTTCTACACGTACAGTTATAGAATGTTCTGGAAATATTTAAAGCGAACTGGATTGGCTGACGAGGCTGACGTCATTTCTTGGAAGCTCCGCCTTTCCAGAGGCTATAAAAGGACTCGCAAAGGAATATCGGGGCTTTTTCTTAAATGTCACGATGCAGTAAACTTCATACAAAAAGTTATTAGTAATTCTTTTTATTTACTCCGGAGATCTTAATTTTTGTAACTGCTATTTTCTCCTGAAAATAATAAATGGATCCTTTTTTAAACTTATCGTCTGTTAATTTAAGCTACGACACATCTATATTCTTCACCAATCTATTTATTCCGGACAAAGCGGACTCACTAATATAATATATATATCACATATGTAAGATGTAATAAAATATGATGGCTATGATAGGAAATAATTGGCAACCTCAAACCTGACTATTCTAAATTTGATGTTCTCCCCCTAAGTTCATCTTTTCTCTCAGATTCGAGATCCTTCCAAAATCATATGACCATTACATAACGTTGCTTGCAAAGAGAACTAAAACCTAAAATAAATAATCGTAGCTTAGCTGTACATATGCCTAGTACAAATACTGCTTCGCTAGCAATTACGTCATTCTTCTTCTTAACTTGACATTCTTCTTAACGGCAAAACCTCTGCGCTGCTATGCATAATTGCCGTCTTTTGGTCTTGATTTAAGATGACGTAGTGTGGTGTTAACTTATGTACATAAAAATTATTGTTGCTAACTATGATCTAGAACTATCCTGTCTACAGCAAACTGATTTAATGTGCATTATCATGGAATAAAATTATGGTTCCAAGTGGCCGCGTCTGTCTTCGAATGTCATCTTTCTAACTACGCAGTTAAGCCTCTCCAACGTAAATCTGTTGCAAGCTTCTTTCTTAAATTAAAATATCGCACACACACACACACACACACACATATATATATATATTCTTATTATATATGCATATATATATATATGATAATTTGATAATTTTGTTGTTAGTGGTGACTTAAGGAGAGAAGGTATTATCGTCGCTGTCATTATCTTTTTCACCTGTTCTAGCATGAATTTCAGCTATAAAATCCTTGGGAGTAGGTTTTTCGGAAGTGATAACGTTGACGTCAACAGATACATAATTTTCAAATTCTTCTCTTCTCATTTCTGAATTTTCCAAGTCTTCTACTTTTTCTGCCTCTTCCTCAGTGATATGCCCTCTTAAAAAATGTCCGATTCAGCCTTACGGAGGCAATTGGCAATGTATGTTGATGCAATGGCTTTCCCATGCATCGTTCATTAAACGTTTTGCTTGGAGTACATTTACATTAGCATTTAAAGATTGTTCCTATTTTTTCTCTTCTACCGAAGTGTCGATATGATAAACATATGCGAGTGAAGCCGCAAGAGCCTTCAGAAAATTATTTATTCCACGAAAAATAGTAACGTAAATGTAAGCATTTCAAATCATCAATGTATTTGTTCGAAAATTTCTAGATGCTGAAAAATGAAAAAATGCCGTAAAAAAATATGATTTAATCTATCATTAATTTCCGCGAACGCAATGAAAAACTTGAGAGCTCATTGGCACTTGCTGAGAATCGTCACTAAATAGCATTGTTTTTCATAATCTTTGTCAGGGATACTTATACATATATTTATACACGTAGCCCAAGATAATGTTTCGAAATGTTCAGGCGTGGTAAGAGAGCTTCTCCGCAAATTAGTTTTGGGGTTGCCATAAAATGGTAAGGGATGACAGGGTTGCCAGATTTGGCGAGAAATCGCTCATTTGGTGATAAAATTGGCGATATACCATGGATGGATGGAGAACCTTCTGGAACGAATTCTTACCGGTTTAGCCCAGAATGTTCTCGAACATAAGCCAAAAACTATACAAACCTAGGTTCCTGCTCAGTAGAGTGTGCCTCGTCTAAGTGAAGATAGTGTATCGCGTTAGTCAGTCCGTGCGGAGTCGATCGATGACAGCGGGCAGCGAGTGCCGAGTGTCGTCAGTGCATCGAGAGTCATAGGATCGGGTTAGTGCATCGTCGAGAGAGTGGTTAAGCTCCGGGAATGTTGAACCGAAGATCGGGAGCGTGCTCTGTGTGTTGTCGTGTTCATCGCGAGTTGTAGCGGGAGAGTCCAGTTACGTGGAGTTCGATAACGACGATCAGAGTCTGGAGCTGTATTCTGTGCTTTGCGTGAGCTGTCTCCACCGTTTGCCGACATGTGAAGGCTGTGTCGCGAGGTTCCAGAGTGTTTATAGGTGATCTTCGACAACTATAAAAGTGTTTTAGAGCAGTCCTGATTAATATTGTTAAATAAAGTGTGTTCGGATATTCCATCAAGTGCTGTCGTCGTTATTCACTTCAAATCCACACAAACTCCGTACGAACGTGAAGGAAGAAAATAATGTAACAACTGGTGTAAAAAAAAAAAAAAAAAAAAAAAAAAACGTAACAATAAACAGAACCCAAAACATTTGAAGAATACATGAATAGTAGGCCGATATTATATAATTAGATGAAAGACAAAAGCTTATTTAGGGAGTTCCATCTCGCATATTCACAAAGCCTACAGACCTTTTCTTCTTCGGTCTGCTCTCATTGGATGAAATATCTGCTTGGCTATCATATTTGTAATGGCGAGTTATCGCCTTGTAAGCTTTGTAAGGAAAACCAACCACACCTTGTGGGCTTTCAGTAAATCGAGGAAAAAGAGTGTTTGTATCACTAGATAAATGTTTATTTTATGAATGAAAATTAAGGGGAATTGTATGGAATATATTTTAAATAACAAAATCCGTGTGGTTGAAATTGATTTTTCCCCGGTTTGGGAATCATGATGATCTTTGCAACTTTCCAGTGAATGGGGTAGTAAGAAGTTTGAAATACAAGCATTGAAAATGCTAGTAATTTTGGTGATGATGTTTTCGGGAGATGTTTTAAGGTATTGTTAGTGATATAGGAGACAGGAGACAGGAGACCCTCAACAGAGTCAGCTGCACCGTCATTATGACTTAAATAGTTTCTCTATTCATGAAAACTGTCTACCATCCGCTATCAGCGGCATTTATTTGAAATAAAATTTTGCAATGTTACAATGGTTGTGCAAATATACATATGGCATGCAGAGACAAATTATTCAGGTCTTGTGGTGTTTACATAGATGGCAATGTTTACAATAAAACTCATAACATCATATTTAGAAATTATATTAAGTTGAAATTTGTTTACAGTTTTATATATTAATTTTGAAGAATAACAAATTATATAAATAAAATGTCATTATACATTAAAAAATTTAGACATATAATTTAGAAGTAATTAAGCCAAATTAAAAAAGAATGAGAAAAACACTAAATATAAAATAAACATTAAATAAATTTATAAAAATGTAAAATGTAGACTAGATTGCTTTACCTCTCAGCAATACTTGAGCGAATTTCGTGGCATGAGCTATGCTTTCACATCATTTTGAGTTTATTAACTTTCTTTAGAATATGGTCACTTTTATCTGGTTGCATGTGTAGTCTCCTTTTTATTTTTTTTATTATCTCTGTCTTTAAAATATATTGAACTCGGATTCACTACATTGATTATATATTCTTGATGAAAATGAATATTTAGACAAAATGATGCATAAGGCAATTTAATGAACATTATATAACATTACAGAACTAATTCTAGAATGGCAACTATGTGGAAAGCTATCAAATACTGTATTTTTAAAGTAAATAATAGAAGCATATTTCTGTCGTAGTTATATGAGAACTGAATAATATGAGATTGTAGTATAGATAGTTATACGAGAATATCTGAAATAATATTTTCACAAGCATATGCATAATGTTTCAATACTTGGATTTTTAAAGCAGATAAAGTTGTAAAATAATGCACATCCAGAAATAAGTGTCAAAAGTAGCTAGTTAGCTGATACACATATAGATCATATGAGCAGGAATGGGATATATTAAATATATGAAATCGGATTGAAAAGTAATTGCCCTTTTCGCAAGAAACGCCCATTATTAGACTTTTAATGCTAATTTAGCAATCAACATGACGGAACCAAATTAGCAATCAGGTACCATACAAATATTAACACATCTTAATTCCGCTTCTCCCCATATATTTTCCTTTTCTCCCTAGCGCCCATTCCTCACATGATATTTACTTTCGTTGGCATAATGAAATGTCGCTCATATCCTTAAAGGAGCCAATTAAGCGCAACCAAGGCTGTTCTCCGAACCGTATCCACCCTTTTTATTAATATCAAGAAAAGAGGAATCACTTCCAAGAGTACTTTTTAATTTTTCGCAGTATCTGTAAATTTCTAAATTAGAAAAATCAATTAATTTTAGTGGTACATCTGCTATAGACACCACTGTGCAAACTGTGCACGTGCGGAGATTGTTGTTCTTAAACCAGGTGACCACATTTTTCCTCTTCTTCTCTTGCGGAATGTATCTCATTACAATTTATAACATTATTAATTATACAGGAAGTGAAAATACAGTTGTATTGTGTGGCAACAGTGTTACCGGGTTTCATTAACTGTGTTGACTGTGTTGTAACTGTAAAATTTGTTGTGTCATTTTTACTTTTGAGTAAAATTTAAGTAAGTAATTGTGTAATGAATTTGTAATTTTTTTGGGCTTTATTATAACGTTTATTTGTATCTTCAAAGAAAGCGTTAAGGTTGCGTAGTATTAGTACTCGAGGTACAGTGATTTGATTTCTCGGTTAGGTACCATGAAAAGATGTAAAAACTGTATCAAGTTATGTTGAAAGTGTTTTATTGATCGATTATGCTCTGAAATGAAAGGATGTTCATCTATTTACTGGCTCGCTGTTTTGTGTATTCATGCTTTGTGTGTATTCAGGATGCATATTAAGCAAATTCAGGTTTGATGTGTTTTCCTACTATTATTCATGTGCACATAATGAATGAATATTCTGTTCATTGTTTTGAAACAGTCCTGTTATCATGACATCTACTTTCGTAATTAGCAAGATTTTGATAATAATTGAGATACCAGCATCGGTAAGATTTGTCATTTTTCTGTACCGATGTATCAGATTTTTTTTTTTATAGGGATCTTCAGTTTCTGATTTTAAATGTCAGAATCCCTTGCTGTCGTACATATGATAGAGATTATGCTCCTGTGTGCAGTATACTATTTACATTACTTTATTTAGTAGTATATCACTTATTCTTGTGCATGGAGTATTTCATTATTATATTATTTAATTTTGATAATATCTTACTTGTATAATTTTTATGTTATATAAATATCTTGTTTTCATGACATTAGTTATTATGCAGTTTCATATACCAGCACTTATGCTTGGAACATATTGCAGATACAGGACTACTACTGTTGACTTCTTAGAAAAAATAGTGCTAAAGACTGTATAAGGCATTGTATTAGTGCACTTTTATATTTGGTATTGCTAGAGAATTAATTGAATGTTGTTATGATAGGTATGATTTGGATGACACCAGAGAATGCAAATGCAATCATGATTATATTTTCTAATATTTTATTAATTGAATGATGAGAATTTGTTTTCTGTCAGAATCTTGATTGGTATCATAATTTTCAATCTTGACTCGCCTTTTTTTTTTTTTTCTTTATCTTCATGTTTTGTTAAAGGTATTATTTTAGTAGTTTATGCTTTTCTTCTTTTAAATTTTAGGATGTTTCTAACAAGGTCTGAGTATGATCGAGGTGTTAATACTTTTTCACCTGAAGGACGTTTATTTCAAGTTGAATACGCTATTGAAGCTATAAAGGTAAATAATTTGTACATATATTGTGCTCAGAATCTGTTGAGGCAAAAATAATATGATTAAAATTTTGCATTTGTCTGGCCAGCATTTACATGATAAGTTATTTATTTGAATTTTAAAATGCTGACAAAATTTTAATAAGAAAGCATAAAGGAGGTGTAAACTGTTTTAGCAATAAAACAGCTAAAACATTCTTTTATAAAATTTGAAATCAGGTGAAGTATTTCAGTTTTTGCAATAAGAAGCCACTTCATTATTATTATTTTGCGACCATCACATATGAAATATGGAAAACAACAGTAAAACTCAGCTTGGTATCATATTGCAAGCTCTGTATGATATATTTAAAAGTGTTTCACTTTTTCTTTCTTTTTTTCTTTTTCTTTTTTTTAATTTTATCAGAGCCAAGCAACATAACTGAAAATTTCTTTGCTTGCATTATTTATGACAATTTACCTAACCAAGATGACCTGTTATCATATATACATCAGAATTCCATTTAACTCAACTAAATGGAGTTCAGACATTTAGGAAAATCATTATAATTACTTTTCGCAGTTAAAAGTAAATACCTTGAACAGTGTTATATAAAAGCTAATTATTTAACATTATATTAATATATCAGTGATACAAGATGTTTGCATATATATTTCATCATCATCATTATTATTATTTTTTGAACAGCAGGCTCTCTTGTCTTTTTTCTAGAGTAGCCTCTGTTAAAGGAAGTGGTGGCCATTTTTTTGTAGACACACCTAGTATGCGAGCACCGTTACCTCCTATGAAGGGACTGACAGTTACAACCATATCTTCTCTGGGATTCGTACTTGGGCCCTTCGGTATTGCAGTCGGTCCCCCTAACCACTATACCATCTGGGAAACATATATTTCATCATCCCTCTCACTTCTTACTAACAGTTATGCCCTATTGGGTCTGTTATGCTGTGTATCAACTGTTATGGATTTATCTCTTTCTGCAAGGAAACATATGATGCATGAAATAGCACAATATTTCCTTTCATTTCTGTATTGCAAAATAATAAAATGGGTAATTTCTTATTATTACAGCCCCATTTTATAAATGGCATCAAGATTATTGTAAATCATCAATATGAATCATCATGAAATAGTGGGGAGTTTCCAAGACAAGAAGAGTTTTGAGTAAACCATGTGTTTTTCTTTTTTCTCATAGATATTTACAGTTTACAATCAGTCATCATTCTCTCATCATAAGAATAGCTCTGAGTATTCCTCTGTGAGTTCTAAAAAATGTGTTAACAGGTAATTTTTTAGAGGTTTAAATATTGATTTGCTAAGAAGTGATTAAAGATGTATTCTTGTCTTTCGAAGAAAGACTCAGTTTAACTGGTTCAGTGGTTTCAGAATACTGTTTGAATTGCATAGTGATTTATTTATTATTGGGCTGAAGGACTGACATTAATTAAAAGGTAAGAAGCTACTCCTCCTTTATAAAAAAAATATAATTATTGATTGGTACAGTTTATGAGGGAGGTATTCTCTCTTTCTAATATATTCTGTAATTTTAATCAGACAATCAAATAAGTGAGTTTGTAGGTGGGAAAAAATATGAACATAAACAAAATTCTATTCGTGTGGGAAAAAAATAAAGCTGGCAATACTGAATACTGGCAGGATTCTTCCATTCTACTGGATATTTGCTAGGTTATGCCAAGAAATTTGTGAATTTTTTCTTGTTGAAGAGAGTCTCAATATATGGCAGTATGGTGGCTGCTCTACTATGTACAACACTCGGATCAGTAAATAAGTCGTCTACAGATGATTTGACGCCTGCACAGAATGGATTTCAAAGCTGTATTTTTGCTACATTATGCCAGGGAACAGGTGAATTTTTTCGGTTAATCTTTGGATTATGGGAACTTGGCGAAAATTTGGCGACCAACTCTGCTACAGCAACCTGCTAGTTTTGTTTTGGACGCCATTTTTTTTTTTTTTTTTTTTTAACATTTTTTTTTCAACAATCTGCTAGCCGAATTACGCTTATGCTAGAACTTTTATGGAACAAAAGTGCTTAATCATGACGAAGATTAGGTGCGAAATTGGGAGAAAGTGCAGAATCACCCACTGCTTGCCGCGTTTTTAAGAATTGCACGTACACGGTATCATCCATGTACACGTCAACTTATTTTCACTAAAAAAACATCCCAGAATTGCACAAAAATGGCATTGTGCACACTCTTGACTTTATCCATGTACACTGCTAAAGTCCTAGCTAGTAACCTTTATCGCCTTACCAAAATGTCGAACTACCTGTTACCATATTCCAAAGATTAGCCGTTTTTTCTTGTTTAGGCTTGAATAGAGAGGCAACTACAATCATTGCAAAAATATCATCTGTGTTCGCCAAGGCTGATGTTTATTTTGACTGTTGATGAGCATATAAACTAGAGGAACAGGAAAAAGCAGGTTTTACTGTGAATTATAAATTTAATTTTGTTGATATAACAACATCTGTGCATACACAAAATATAGAAAGCAATGGTGGAAATATGACAGTTTTTATATTCTTAATATGACAATCATTTTTATATTCTTAATGCTTTGTTCTGAAATAGTCTTTTAATTTTTTTTTAATACTCTGTTACAATATAAGCATGCAAAATCAGTACAGTGATAAATCCAGTGATTAGAAATTCAAATACAGTCAAAAGTCGTTAATTCGGACACCCATAATCTGGAATGATCTATAATCCGGACCTCAAAGCTAAAATCTTTCTGCGCATGCGCCTCATTGACACATGAGCATAGGCGTTTTACTCGTGCGCCCAAGACATTTACGACTGCGCATATGCATCTGCGCAAGTGCAGAATACGTTTTCGCGTGCGCGTTTAATGTATAATGGACGGTATAAGCTAAAATTATCTAATTATCTATTTCAGTTAATGTTGATGATTGCGTTGTTCCTTAATCTTCGAATTGGATCCCGCTTATTATTTTTTGCAGACTGTAAGAGCAATTTTCTAAAGTAAGCTTGAACTTTCGATTATGTCAAATAGAATTTCCGATGCTGGAGCTCCCAAAGGATCTAGAAAACAAAAGTATGTTCGATGTCCATCAAACAAAAAACGAATTGCTACAAAAAATGGATAAAGGCATATTCTTTGTTTATCTAACCGTTCCGAAATCTGTTTGTCAATTTCACGCTGCTCTGCGCGGGGGGGGGGGACGTCACAGCGCGCAATGAACTGGAAGTTGATTTGTCAACACTATCGTTATCTTCAGGGCAGATTTTTTTTTTATTCGGCTTATAATTCCTTACTAAATGTAGTATTTAATTTCGATGTACTCCGTCTTTGATATGATTTAAATCAAATTCCTCGTCATTATAAATATCACAAATACAAATCAAATAGTTTTCTGGTTGCAATTTTCTAATTTCGGCTATGTGTAAGGTATGCTTTACGCATCCGCGCATTAAAAGAAATGTTTAATAAAGTAAACAAATAAATATTAAGGCTTTTTTTTTTTTGGTAAATTTTGATACCCTTTAGATCATAATTGCTCATTATTTTATAAATTATGGTTTCATATTTTTAATTTTATAATTTCTGCATGCCATCTTACCAGATTTAAACTGATGATCTATAATCCGGAAAAATCGATAATCCGGAATCGATAAGTCCCGACGAGTCCGGATTAAAGACTTTTGACTGTACTAAACAGTTTGCATCATATACTATTAATAGTTTGAACCATAAATAATCAAGACAGTGTATAGCAAAATTTGCAGACATTTCTTGTGTTTGTGTTTAACCTGCAATACAATAATTTTTTATCATAGAATTTATCCTTCAGAAGAATTTTTTCATTAGATTCTGAAAAATTGCTGTGGGAATTTGTGTTGCATGTGTTGTTTTGTAGAATGGTGTACAGTTGACTAGTTGTCATCAAATTATGAGATCTTGCTTTACATGTTATTTTCTGAACTGGCTTGCTATATGTCATACTTCAAATATCCAAGTACTAAAACCAAGGGATTGATTGAGTGTAAATCGATAAAAACTAGTCATTTCATTATTAGTGCATGTTTACAAATGCCTGTTATCAAGCATCTGTGAGGTCAAGGCATGTCCATTAAAAAGGCAGTATCATGATTCATTTTGCATTGCTGATTTATGTTGGTCCTCATTCCAGTGACAGTGTTTATCATTCATTTCCAAATAACGCTGACCATTATATAACAGATTCATCAACAGTTGCTGAGCAACAAAATGGTCCTGAACTCCAGCTGGTACATCTTAACTTTCCTTAGCAGCCACCAGTAATGGTAAACTTGTCAAATTGATTCATATATAATGTAATGTATCATATAATATATAATGTATTACATAATATAATGTATCATTTAATACAATATATATAATGATTTATTTGTATAAAATGTGAAATTTGTGTAGTTTTTCTCACTTTTTTAAAGCAAAAACAGATCTCTGTATACTTGGGAGAACAACTGTAATGTATTATGTATAATGCAACTTAATGTATCATATAATCCTTATTTAACAGTTCAGATTTGTATTTTAAATTGTTTTCTTTTGATATGTTGATAATGATCAGTGATAAATATTTATGGTGCAGTAATATGCAAGATGAGAAGAAATGACACTTCAATTCTCCCCATGTACACATTCCATTTTTCTTTAAAAAATACCAGAGAATTATGCTAATTTGACATTGTACACAACCTGGGCATTACACTCATTAAACTACATAATATTATGACTGCATTTTTTTTAAAGTCGCAATGCCTTCCCCCTTCCCCCAGTTAATTTTAAACAACTAAATTTCATTGAAATGCTTGCTACCAGTAAGTGTGGTTGCTGATTTAAAGAGAAACTACCCTTCAACTGCAAACCATCTTCTAATTGATAAATCTTATTATTTCTAAACGGGTATACCTGCGAGCAGCTGTTTTTTTTTTTTTTTTTTTTTTTTTTGAGCTATGACTGAAATAATTTGCTGC